ATGTATATTTTGCCACACTAAAATAAGTAAGATAAGAAATGAGAATTTATGCTAACAGTTGAATATCTGAGCATAAATTACGGGAACAGCAATTTAGGTGCTTGGTACATATCTCGAGTTTAACAAAAAAAAGGCTCCCATTCACAAGAGTGATGCGATCCCAGTAAAATAGTTCAGAAGAGGTGCCTTGCACATAGCATCTTACCAATATGATCATTTCCTTACAATGCATATATTTAATGTTGAAAATATCTCATGGTATCTGTATATCCATGACCATTTTACTTTGTAATTCATTTTTGACTCTTTAGGATCACCTTAAACAGGTTAGATTCTAGATATTTATGTGTACACTTCCCTGTTCATGATGATTATCTGTTGAAGGTGTCATCCCCTAAGATATTCTTGAATTTGCATTAGCATTGGCCCCCATCAGTAAGTTGGTTTTGAAAACAGAAGGGCGTTGCTCACTTTGCCCTTGCATCAGAATTTAATTGTTGAAAAAATATGTTTGTATGTTTGTCATTGTCTAATGTGGCCCTCTTACCCTCTAGAATTATAATTGTGACCTTCTGTTTTAAGACATGCATGATTGGCTCCACATAGAAGCTGAATTTCTAGTGATATAAATATCAGCTGCTTGGAAATTTGGCCACTCTCACGGGGAATCTTCCAGTCATCATTGTTACAATTCCACAAGATAATAACACTAATATTCATGCTATCGAAAGAAGCTATATTGTTCATTCCTAAGAGACAGACAAATGAGTGAGTTACTATTTGTTGTATCAGCATAACCATGGGTTAAAGTATATGGTACTACTGCCAGAGAGAATATTTATTTAGTGGTTATAAAGCAAATTTGCCATTCAGTTACTAGATTTTTTCTCACATTTTGTTTTTTTTCTTAAACAACTTATTTAATAAGATATTTTCCTAATTTTTATATTCCAAATTTAGAAAATTGGGCTTTTGGTGTCTATGATCTGTTGAGGACACGCTCGCATGTTAAAACATTAAAGAATATGTACAATAAACATGCTAGATTGGCGTGTAGTAGTTGTGCCTGGGAGGCGTCTCTCAAGTGTTGAAATGTAAAAAATATATGAACTATGAAATGTCACATTGTACATTGGACGCGTTTTGGAGTATAGAACAGCAACGCACCATTCCAATAAGGATTGTCAATGTTTCATAGGTTCATTTCTTTGACAAAAGTCCAAAGTTCAGCCATTGCATTACCATCTTTTAGAGGCTTGAAATTTGTATTCTTGAATCCAAACACACTAGCTTTGTTCCATTTATTATCTTATTGTAAGGAGTGATTGTGATCTGGACAGGCCAAAGATATTGCTGATTTGGGTTCACTAAAGGAGGCAGCTAAAATATTTGTCCCAGGTAAGTTGACATGAATATTGTTTCCCTCTCAAAAGAAAGCCTCGAGCTTCGTTTTGTTTCACCTGACTTGCGCTTCCATTGAAATTATGATTTGTTCAATAATATAATATGTGGTAGGTGGGGCAACTCTGTACTCAGCCCACACAATTAAAATCAAGGAAGAAGAAGGTTATAGGTATGTTTATGCTCGAATACCATGAATCCACCTGGCTATATCATTTATCAAACTCTTTTTCTTGCAGCAGTTGATAAATTTATTATGGACATTGTATCTCGTCGTTCAAGCACTCATGTTTTATTTTTCTTTTTATCTTTTTGGTTGCGTTCAGCATAGCCTCTGTGAAGGTATCATGTATTTCAGGACTAAAATGTCACAAAGTATCATAAGTAACCCAATATGCTTATGTAATTTCAGAGGAAGTGAGATCATGCTCTTCTAATGATTTCTCATGTATGGATTGACTTATTTCAGGAATTATTACTTTTACGAATTTGGTAACGACATTCAGCATGTTGCACTAGTAGCCGCCGTTAATAGTGGAAAGGTACACATCTATGTTGTTCATTGATTTTGATTACTTTTATTGTTCGGCCAAAATGTTATGAGATGTGATCCTAGCAGAACATGTTAAGAGTAGAGAAAGGTGGAATAAAATTACAATTCAAATAGAGAGTTAGCTATGCAATTCAAATATTTCAGCAGCTCGATTTGTATCTTTTCCACTTAGAGAAATAACTGTTCGAGCTTTCTTTCGTCATTCTAAGGTTATTTTCTTACGGTAATAATTACTCAAGTTTCTAATTATTACACTAGTGGTCACTTTGTTAAAAAAAATTACATTAAATCCTACGTGCCACTATCAAGTGCCAACATGTTATTAAATGACATTATTTTTTGTCACGTGACAATTTTTCCATGTTTTATTTTTGTGACAAGTTGGCACTTAATGGTGCCATACTGCCATGTAGGATTTAATGTTAATTTTTAGCCGAGTGACCATTATCATTAGAAACTTGAGTGATTACTACCGTAAGAAAATAACTTCATAGATCATTTGTGTACATAATTAAAATTTCGGTGACCATCGGTCTAAATAACTCGTCATTCTATAGTAAGCTTTTATATACGAGGACTTATTTTCACTTATATGCCTTAGGCATTTATTGCTGGAGCAACTGCGCCCCATAATAAATGGAATGATGATGGCGTGCGACTTCGATCTGCTGCAGTGTCGCTGACAGTTCTTTGAAAATTCTTTGGGTGGGTTTAGAATTCACATGCATATTCATTTCTTACCACAAGAGCAACATGAAGATGTTCAATAAAAGATATCGAGCTATAACAAAGCCTGGATTTTGTAAAGCCTCCAATCCTGCAGTTGGTAGTTGAACTGTGAATAAAATCCATAAGTATGGTGCAACTAGTAGTTCAGTTCGGACCATTTTTGCCTCAGATCTACAGACGACTTACAAATACCTATATGTATTGTCAGTGTATTCTTTTATGGCAGATGTTTGGGCAATGTAGTAACTTGCTAAAAGATTGATGGGAGTGTTTCTCGAAACTGTGTACCAGCAGGTTACAATGCTTTTTTAATTACCATATTGACTTCGTTTTTGCTTTTTACAGGAAGAAATATAGATTATATTGTACATTAAATTATTCCTCTGCAACGTTGCTAGCTCATACTGAGCACAATTGCTTAGCTTATGCTCAAAAATGCTAATATGACATCAATTCTAATTAAATATGGGGACCCTCCCTACTTTTTGTAACATCAATACCCAAAAGCATTTCTCTTCTCTTTTTCACGAGTTATAATATGTGGGACTTCAAAAATATCTAAATATTGAAGAGGAAATTGTGATGGAAATTTTCTTTACTAACTAAAGTTGGAAAGTCACACTTCAGAACTTAAAAGAAAAATGTTCAATAATTTTTAGTGCCTCATAACTAATTGAACTTGTAATGCGAAAAATGATTCGAGGGGCATTAATCCCTCTTTCGAGCCCCAGAAACCACATTTCTAATTATCGACTCAATAGCTGAGGATTCCTTTTTAAAAATTGCCACTAGTGCTTAATAACCCGTGCGCATCCTCATTTTTCTGACTACGTTGTCCATCATTGAATATTTAACCCCAGTTTGCAAATTGTCCTAGTTGATTTAAACAAATCAAAAGAAGTACTATATTTTGAAGCCATTAGTACTATGGTTACAGTGCTTCGATGCCATTATCTTGTAGATTTATTGGACATAATTTTGTCATATACATGAAGTATAAATTTTGGATGGAATAGCATTGAAATGTACTTTTTTTTTTTTCTAAGGTGGATGAGTTGAATGACGTACACATTCGATGACATTGTGTTGAAAATGTAAGGTATTGATGCAAATCTTTGTAGAAGAATACACAAGTCATTACATGTTTATGTTTATTCTCGATCGCATTGGTCATCTGAGGTTGGCATCTGAGAGTTTAGATATAGGGTTTGTCCATAGATTGTACATAGAAATTTAACCTTCCATCATCTGAGGTCCATTGGATGGTCTCGTCTGAAAAACTAATGTACGTTCGACAATACTGTGTTAACAATATTATATATGACACTCATGAGTGCAGTCGTAGTAGAATGCAACGGTCATTACATGTTTATAGTCATTGTTGATTGTACTGGTCATTTTGTGGTGATTTGGTGTTTGCATTCAAGAGGGCGAACACTGGCAATATGTCTGGTGCTAAAACATAATTTGACTATTGAAAGCAGGGCAAAGGGCTAGAAAGCCATGTTGAGATGCAATGAAAATAAATCGAAATAGGGTTCGTCTATAGATGGTACTAAGAAGTTTTACCGTCCATCGTTGGAATTGTTTGATGTGGTTGAATAAATGTACACATTCGAAGATCTGGGACACTAGGGAAAAAAAATTGTCTTGAGCAGTGTTCACTGATAAGTGTATTTATACACTTATATGTACCGTTAAATTAGAGCAATTATTATTAATTTAAATGAATGGAGGCTTAATTTTGAATATAGTTTGTTTGTAAGGTGCATTTCGATGAAAAATCATAGAATTGAAGAAAAAATGCAGAAAATTGGCTAAAGTGGACCTAATCCAAAGTGTGAGGACTAAATCACAAAATGATAATAGATTATTCGAACCTAGTATCGACGATTGGAGAGATGTTGGAGTCAATTAGACAAAATTGGAAGATGGGGGGTCAAAAAAATACAAAGAAATAACCAAAATAAATAAAGAATGAAATTCGGGGACCAAAGTGCAACAATTGGAAGTTTTTATGCCTGCGCTCGCACGGGCTTATTTTTATCTACCAGGAGCAAACCAATTGAACGGCACACGCAAGGAAGTACACGGCGCACGCGCACAGGCTAATTCTTCGGACCCAATTTTCTGGTTTTATCCAAATTCCTATAAAAACCAAATTTAACCTACTTTCTAAGAGAGTGAACAGCGTGAATGACTAAGAGCATATCAAATCTTAAATTTTACCAAAAGAAAGAGGCTAGCACAAGATTAGGCGCGCGCGCGCAGGCTAATTCTGGGCTTGAACGGCCCAATGTTCTGGTTTTATCCAAATTCCTATAAAAATCAAATTTAACCTACTTTCTAGAGGAGGAACGTCGTGAACGACTGAGAGCAAATCAAATCCTAATTTTCACCACAAGGAAGAGGCTAACACAAGATTGAAAGGCGATTATCACAAGAGATTGAAGATTCAAAGTCTAAATTGAAGAAATACAAAGAAGAAATTGAGTTCACTTTCCATTCATTATTTCTCATTTCGGGTGATGTTTTTCCAAATCTTCTTTTGTGATTTACATAACATTATGCTAGACTAATTATTTCATATATTGGATGAAGATGAAACCCTTTATTATTTATTTTTAATTCAAGACTAGTGGTTAGTTGAATTCTTGTTTTTCTTGATTAATCTTGCATGCATAATTGTATTATTTAATTGTTTGATCACCAATTAAATATATAGTTGCTTGTTGTAGTGTTTGGAGGCTCACAATAGGTCTAGAACATTACTTAATTAACATACGTGCAATAGATATTATGAATTATATTTATCACGTGTGCAATTTTTGAGATAATCTAAACTTTAATGGGTTCTATTCATTCGAATTCGGATTAGGAATAGATTCGGGTCGTGATTAGAATGGATTTAATTTGTCTTGAAAAAGAGAATTAATTACAATAAATTTATCAATTGTCAAGAATGCATGAATGATACTAACTACATAATTGAGAATTGAAATAGATAATAATAGGTGGATTCGTAATCCAATACATTCATCCCATAGAAACACAAGACTCGAATTTTACAAGTTTTCTTAGAATAATTTAGAATAGTTAACAACCAAGATTCTATTTTGTTTGCTTACTTTGAATATAATAAAACTAATACTCTTGATTGAAAGTTATTTCTTGTGGGACGATAACCCTTAACTCATCACTTATTACTTGTCAACGATCCCATACACTTGCGGGTTTTCCACGAACATTAACCAATTAGATCGGCTCGGATGGTCTTCAAGAATTTTATCAATCCCATTGCAATATTTATTAATTTTGTACAATAGTTCTAATGGTATGCATTCTCGTTGTATGATCATGTATTGCACTACATGTTGGTATAGGAACGATACCAAAAAAAGTACGTGTCTATCAAGTTAAATAAAATTTATTTGCGTTTCATGCTCGGTTGTATGCAAATGGAATTCGAGTACTGGGTTAATGAAGAAAATTATTTTGACATCCAAATCACACAAGTTGCAAATTGGAAACAGTTCGGATGGATTGTTTGCCCTAATTAATAGGACACGACAAACTGAGGTAATTAATAAGACATTGACACAACATTTACGCACTATAGTTAATAATAATTTAAAGAGTTGGGAGGATTGATTGTCATTTGTCACACATAGAATTTGCATATAATAGGGTCATGCATTCTACTACTTCTTATACACCTTTTGAAATTGTATATGACTTTAATCCATTAACTCATTTGGATTTAATTCATTTACTTATTGATGAAAGGGGTAGTTTAGATAGGAAGAAGAAGGCTGAATTGGTAAGATCAATCCATGAAAAAGTGCGCTGTCAAATTGAGGAGAAGAATGAACATTATGCTTCTCAAGCTAATAAAGGACGGAAGCGTGTTACATTTGAACCAGATGATTAGGTTTGGGTGTATATGTGAAAAGAGCATTTTCCAGCCCAAATGAGGTCAAAATTGCAACCGAGAGGAGATGGATCATTCCAAGTGTTTGAAAAAATCAATGACAATACCTATAAATTGGATTTTCCAGATGACTATAATATTTCTGCCACTTTCAATGTTTCTGATCTTTCTCTATTTGATGCAGGTGAAGATTCGATGACGAATCTTTTTGAAGATGGAAGGAATGAGAACCATGGGACGAAAGCTAGCAAGGATGCATTGATTGTGGAAGAAGGATCAATGACGAGATCACGAGCAAAGATCAAGGAAGCCGTGGATTACTTGTTCAAGTTACGTGGGCCGTGTCTTCGATTGCAACGAGCAAAACATCAAGTTTCATGTTTGGGATGGAAAAGGAACCAAGATTAATGTACTTAATTCAAACTAAGTTAGAAGAAGCGAAGCTTGGAGTATAGCCGAAAAGTGGCGCGCTAGCGCAGACAAAATAGGTCGCGCGCACAAGTGAAAAATTTCATCTCGTAGCCAATCAATTAAACGACTTGCTGCGCACAGTGCAAAAATCAGAAGGCGATTTAATTTTTCCATTTTCGTTTTGAACTCTATTTGTTTCTTTTTTTTTTTTACGATTTAATTAGGGTTTTTTTGAGTTCTAGGGTTCATCCTTTTCATTGTAAAACTACACATTATTGAGAGAATTAATAAAGCAAGATTTTCTTTCTTCTTGTTCTTAAGTGATCTTAATTTTGAACTTATCAAGGATTTTATCTTTGTGGAGTTCAATAATTTCATAGCAAGGTTCATAATTTTTGTAATTAAAGGGTCAAGTTCTTCCATAACTTTGGTTCCTTGATTCAATAAATTATTAGGTCAAGCTTCAAATCGGGATTTTAGCTTTCATGGGGTTGTGATTCAATCTTTCGTGGATTTTGGAACTACTATTGTTACATGGGTTTATATCAATATGCTTCACTCTCACGGTCTCCACTAGCTCCCATTTGTGAACCTTTATCCACCACATTGCACTTTGTTCACTT